GTGTGTGTGTCCATCCCTGTCGCCCCCTGCTGGAGGAGACTGTCCCTGCAGGGTGTGTCCCCCTGCTGCCCCCTGCTGGAGGGGACGGGCCCTGCTCTCTCTGTATTCCTGGCTTCTCTGAGTTCAAGGCCGGAAGAGCCCAGCTCACCCAGTCTGAGTTTCTGGATCTCACAGGCCACTCCCTGGCGCCGGCGCACCAACCCCCATGGCCGAACGAGACCCGCGTATCACAGCCCACGGGAGACGAGACGGCGCTGCGCAGAGAGGTGGAACCGGGGTGCACCAATGCCCGAGGCCCCCCAATGGCAGGGCGGGATTAAGAGAGAGACACCCAGATAATCCCGGCGGATCACCCTCATCCCACGCTGCAGAGGAAGGGGAACCCCCCCTCCCCTGGTCCCTGCCAAACTGACCTGGGGGAAAATCCCTTCCTGACCCCTGCTGGTGGCCGGCGGGAGCCCTGAAGCATGAACGTTAGCGACATACGACGTAACCCAAAATGGAGCCCCAGGGCAGCTGAGCCCTGTCTTTGCTCTCACAAGCAACGCCGGCCTGTGACTGCTCTCATCCGCTCGCTTTTTGAAGTAATTACGTTGTTTGCCCCCCACCCCCACTCCTAGTGGGGGGCTGGTCCCGAGCCTCACCCTGCTGATGGTTAGAAACCGTCTTCTAATTTCCAGCCGGAATTCATTGGTGGCACGTTTCTGCCCATTTGTTTACATCGTCCCTTAGCTTCCGTCGCTCTTCTCCGGCACTGGGGCGTAGCCCCCGATGTAGCTATTGAGAGTAACTAGAGCCCCCTTCATTTTATTCCCCAAAACCAGCCAGCCTCCTCCCGTCTCCTCCATCCCCCTGCTCAGCCCAGCTGCCCGGTCTCTGCACCTGGTCCGGTTTGGCTTCCTCTTGCTGATTTCCTTCCATGACGCCCTGAGACGTGAGCTGGAGACAGGCGGGCTCAGCAGACCTACCATGAAGTGGCTCTATACATGGTTAAACAACCGCAAACGAAGAGTCATTATTAATGGAAGGACGAGGGATTGGAGGGAGGTCTTGAGTGGGAACCTCCCTGAAGGAACGGCCAGACTGGGTCAGAGCAAAGGTCCATCCAGCCCAGTGTCCTGTCTCTGCCAGTGCCCAGTGCCAGGTGCCCCGAGGGAATGAACAGAACAGGGAATCATCAAGTGTCCATCCCCTGTCGCCCATTCCCAGCTTCTGACAATCAAAGGCTGGGGACACCATCCCTGCCCATCCTGGCTAATAGCCATTGATGGACCTGTCCTCCATGAACTTATCTAGTTCTTTTCTGAACTCTGTTATAGTCTTGGCCTTCACAACATCCTCTGGCAAGGAGTTCCACAGGTTGACTGTGCGTTGTGTGAAAAAATACTTCCTTTTTTGTGTGTTAAATCTGCTGCCTGTTCATTTCATTGGGTGACCCCTAGTTCTTGTGTTCTGAGAAGGAGTAAATAACACGTCCTGATTTACTTTCTCCACACCAGTCATGATTTTATAGACCTCGATCATATCCCCTCTTAGTTGTTTCTTTTCCAAGCTGAAAAGTCCCAGTCTTATTAATCTCTCCTCATATGGCAGCCGTGCCAGCCCCCTAATCATTGTTGTTGCCTTTTTCTGAACCTCAATTCCAATCTATCTTTTCCGAGATGGGGCGACCACATCTGCACGCAGTATTCCAGATGTGGGCGTTACCATGGATTTATATAGAGGCAATAGGATATTTTCTGTCCTATTATCTCTCCCGTTCTTAATGACTCCCACCATTCTGTGGGCTTTTTTCACTGCTGTCGTTTTCAGAGAACTATCCACACTGACTCCAAGTTCTGGGTCCCGTGTCATTTCCCAGCGGTAGGAATAGAGAGGAGACGGAGCCGATCTGCAGATGATACAAAGCGAGGGGGGTTTGCAAGCGAGAGGGGTCTGTCCTTGGGAGGACAGAGCTAACATTTAAAGGGATCTTGATAAATTGGAGGACTGGGCTGTAGCCAGCAAGGCGCCCACTTAACGGACTAATATTTAATAACGGGCTCTTCGATCTAGCAGACAAAGGTCTAAGTGGAAGCTAGTCAAATTCAGCCTGGAAAGAAGGTGTGATTTTTTTTAACACTGGGAGCAATTACCCATCGGGACACTTTCCCAAAGTGGGCGTTGGCTTCTCCATCACTGGCTGTTTTTAAATCAAGCTGGGCCGTGTTTCTGCTCTGGGAATTATTGTGGGGAAGGTCCCAGGCCTGACAGACAGGAGGTCGGACTAAAAGCACAAAGGCCCCGGAATCTGTAAATCTGGCAGCAGAGGGCGACTGGCTCTTGGGAGGGACCTACCACGCCGCCCCTTAGTGAAGAATCGATCGGGCGCAGAGCGAAACCAGGGGATTCCCGTGAAACTAGGGTGACCAGACAGCAAGTGGGAAACATCGGGACGGGGTGGGGGGTAATAGGCACCTATATAAGACAAAGCCCCAAATATCGGGACTGTCCCTATAAAATCGGGACATCTGGTCACCCTACGCCCAGCGCCCCCTGCCCGGCGGCACCGAGCGATCCCCGGGTCGCACTGCGGCCTGGCTCCAGCTGAAGTCAGCCGTGCTTGCAGTGGGAGTGGGGCGGGAATCGGACCTCACCCCTGTGCCCGGGTCAATCCGGAGTCACTCCCTTTCCTGGAACCCGGAGGGGCGGTTCTAGAACACGGGGCCTTCATGACACCGCTGGGCGTTCTAGAAGGGAGGCCATGACCCCCGGCCACGGAGAGCAGGGGAGTCCCCATACATCCCCCAGCCACTGCCCAGCACCCCTCTGGCCATCCCTATACACCCCCCCCCATCTCTCCATCGCTTTCTCTTTCCAGCGTGGCCCCGACGGTGCCGTTGGCCTGTTCCCGGAGCGCCCCGTCTCAACTCCCCTCGATCCTCACACCGGCTGCTCCCCCCTGCGGGGATGGGGGTCCTGGGGCTGGTGACCCTGCTGGCCTGCCTAAGTGCGGAGGGCTGGGGGAAGATCTTCTCCCGCTGTGAGCTGGCGCAGACGCTGCAGGACGGCGGGATGGACGGATACGAGGGATACAGCCTGGCCAACTGTGAGTGAGCCCTCGGCCCTGCCCCACGGGCTCCTCGATGGGGCAGTGGGTCCCCCCCGCACTGCTCCCCATGGGCTCGTCTATGGGGCTGTGCTCCCCCCACACCACTCCCTGTCTCTATGGGACTGTGCCCCCCCCACACCTCTCCCCGTCTCTATGCGGCTGTGCCCCACCCCCACCGTTCCCCATCTCTATGGGACTGTGCCCCCCCCACTCCCTGTCTCTATGGGGCTGTGACCTCCCCCCACACCGTTCCCCATCTCTATGGGGCTGTGCCCCCCCCACACCACTCCCTGTCTCTATGGGGCTGTGCCCCTCCCCACACCGCTCCCCGTCTCTATGGGGCTGTGCCCCCCAGGGGTCTGCCTGGCGTTCTACGCGAGCGGCTTCGACACGGAGGCCGTGGGGGCCAATGCGGACGGCAGCTCCGACTACGGCATCTTCCAGATTAACAGCGGCTGGTGGTGCCAGGACACCAAGGGCCCGTCGGAAAACTTGTGCCACGTGCGCTGCCAGGGTGAGGCCACCAGGGGGCACCGGGCTGCAGGGGGCGGGCGGGGGGGTCAGTGGGGGCTCAGCGGGGGGCGCTGTGCTGCAGGGGGCAGGCGGGGGGGTCGGTGGGGGCTCAGCGGGGGGCGCCGTGC